GGAGTTAGATTAGTATAGTTCACAGCGCGAAGCGCCGCGCGCACCTTCAATTTACATGCGGAACAACTTACTCTTAGCGGCCGCGGGAAGCAACTTCGATCACTTTTTTTAACTTTAAACTTACTTCTAAAAATTTTCTTCTCTGACTATCCTATTTCCCCACCGCACAAAACTCTATAACCACCGTTTTTGCAGGACGAAATGCTGGAACTAGGGGTATATGAGTGGGCCGACATATGCTACTTTTGCCGCTTTTACCTACATCTTCACGATAATATATGGGCAGTTTTGGTTACGTCCCACATAGTCGATGTGGTAAAACAGAATGCGGTCACAACCTTTTTGCTACTGCATTTTGTGGCAGAAAGCTTTGAACTGTTCATTGTTTCTGGAAATAAATGCGATTCCTTAAACTTGGTTTCACATGCATTTGTGCAATTTCAGACTAAATTTTCCGGTTCTGAAAGGGATATATTTATATTGGTGTTCTTCCATAACACAGCGCATGAAAAGATTTGGCAATTGGCTACATAGTAACATAGGAAATACCTTCGAAGTCGGCCTACCTAGGATTTCGCAAAAATTAATGCCTGTTACCGTAAGAAAACGAAAAATGCAGTCTTCCATACTAAAAGACATTCTCAGGATTGCATCCACTCATTGAATCGACATAACGTGACCAAATATATGCTTAAGTCCCAAGTCAATTTTCGTCAAGACTTTTGCACGACTTCCTCGCCGTTCTCTATCTGTCTGACTTAAAACTTCCTTCACTTGAGCTTTCTGAAGCAGTGCACCTTTTTTTCTGCCACTATTTTCTTCAACAGGAAACAGGAGTTTATGTTGGGGCATTTCTTCTTTAGGTTTGTCATCGCAAACTGCCGAGGGAGTTGGGCGGAAGTTTAATGGGGCAAATACTCTTTACAATGCGGTGGTTTTTAGGAACGCTATTCGACCAATGGAGCAGGAAGAGTATTTGGGTAAATGAACCTAGATAGAGAGGACAGCACTGCTAATACAGATGCCTACAGAAAATAACTGTCTTTTTTTGCGTACCCCCTCGTCGACCACAAGACGCCATGTAGTGCTCGTAACGAGTCAGCCGACAAGCAAGAACAAGTAGATAGCAGTCCCAGGTGCTTCATCCGCTACTATGGTCGTCAGCACTCCGTAAATAATATCACTGGAGAGAAGAGGCATTGTGCACGACCGCCCGTTTGCACCATAAGTCTACCAGGATTTAGCATCAGTATCATTAACTTCTGACTCAGGTTCGGTTGAGTGGTATTACATATGTTTAAGAACATTTACAAATAACAGGGTCAGATGGGGTGGACTGAGCGAGTGCACAACTGAGGCAGCGGTCATTCGAGTACCGATATCAACACCAAGGAACACCTCCAGTAGGTGTGACTGATCATCCCATCGGAGCGTAACAATACAGGGATTCTTCTTTTAACTGTAACAGCACTCATGGCGCACACAGGAAACTTTATGCTGCTCGTTCGATTCCGCCACCCAAGATCCCCTTTTTGTGAAATTTTACGGTTAGAGACAGCGGAGTAGAGACCAGGCGTGTGACATGCATGGACGCAGACTCAGCCCCTGAAATCGCCGCGCCCCCAGCCGTACTGACGTCGTCTTGCCATGTGGAACATGGTGTGTATGAAAGGGAAGAGTCAGATAGAGACCGCGCACTTAGAGTTCGATAGAAAAACCTCTTTAGGCTATTCAACACAAAGTCATCACCGGCGCGGTGGTGACCCGTCACCTGTGACGAATTACAAGCTAAATATGCGGAATTGGAGTCCACAATGATCCAACAAAACATACACGGCAGGCACAAAATGATTGGGTACGATGAAGGATTAAAAAAATACAATTCTCGCCAGAAGCGCCGACTAGTGCTACCGTTTTACTCGAATCCAATTTATTTCTGTCAACAGCTTCTGGCCCCGGAAACACTGCATTCTTATGTTTAAAAATATGATGCCACTATTGTCTGTCCTCGATATAGATGTGCTTCATCAGACTATCAAAAAAAACATTACGAACGACTACGAGGAAGGTTCGTCAGATTGAAGCCTAGGGTAATGCTAAACCGTCCCTCTGATCGATAAAATAAACTTATGGTCGGCAACAGAGTTCAGCAGAACCCCAGTGTCTAGTTTTTTGCACCAAAATTTATTGTGTCAACAAGATCGGTTACTTCAAAATGGTGCTCACCCAACCCTCTAGAGCAGAGCTGAATCTCATCGTAGAAGCCTTTGTATACGAAATACAGCGACGCCACATCGTAGTGAATCACTTTGTCCGCTTATAAGAACTCGATTTTTTTCAGTTTTGCAAAATGGTTCCATCTAAATTCGCTGTCCATCAAGTTCAATCAAACTGCTGCATTGTGAAGTAAAGACGCGTGAAAACAGTGAAATAGGTAAGCATGATTGGAAATAGAAGGACATTTATTTTAACCAGAGCTGAAATCGATTTCAATCATAAAGCAATTATCAACAAAGGAAAATATCCACAGATCACGGGGGCATGCAACGTACAAAACGAAGTTAAACGACATGATGACTAGTAAATTTAGCTGGAAGGTCTGACTCAATCGGATCTGGCCGTAAAACCGTTGATCTTTGGTTGGTAGAAATCTTCAACCATGATGCCAATCAGTTCTGCCAATTCAGCTTCAAGCTCGGCGAACGAACGCCTAAAATTTGAGAGAAGTTACATGGTGTACTTAAATAGACGTAGTAGCAATGAGAGCTAAGCCAGTATGTATATTTAAAACAATGGTGGGTGTCAACTTCTTTCTATATCACACATTTTCCTGTTCACTACTCTGATTTTCGCAGTGACGGGTGGCGGAAACAAAGCCGTTGAGAAAACCATGGTCTCAATAAACACAAGCTTCTTAAAATAAACCTCCTCCTTAGGGAAAATGACAGGTACAGTAGAATAAAAGCATACTTGTCGGTGGGCTTGGCGCAAAGCTCTGAATAGTACTTGATCTTGGGCTCGGTGCCGCTGGTACGAAGGGTGAGGGTAACACCGTTGTCAAAAGTGAAGGTTATCATCTGGCTCGAAGCACTAACAGGTAGTCGCTAAAAAGGAAAATAGAGGAAGTAATAGAAGTTAAGCTTGATCTAGACCAAGAAAAAAAACTCATAAGTTTTTAAGGAAATCCAGCATCTGAGTAAACGAGGCGTCCTAAACAGTGTCCTATTTTTCTGTCAGTAAGAGCAAATCGCAGTCTCTGAATGGTGAAGAACCCATAGAGTGAGTCATACACCTTAGAGTCACAAAGGTGGTTGCCCACAACGAACAAGTTTTTTCGGCCTTGTAGTTGTACTCCAGAGCAACTTATACCGATAAAGGGGTGCAACACTAATTCTAAACCACACATTTTGGATCATAGGGCTTACAGCGCATGCTTTGATGTCGTTTAAAGACTCAGTACCTCTCCGGCCAAAAAAAAACAAGAAAGCACATAAATTTTGCGATAGGGAGAGCCGATTAACCATTTTGGGCAATTAGTAACAAAGTAAATCCAATAAAAAAGGATCAGATGACACTTATGTCAGCGAGCGTTTTTCGGAATTCATAAAGACCAGGTCAATACACTAGCATAGTGAAACTCTTGGATTACTCTGATCATCTGATTCTTCGTGACCAGGAACGTAAAATTGCAAGTATTATACAAAACTTAGTCTGAACCGAAAATCACTGCCACCGCTCTGGATGACAAAAAGACGAGAGATTCGGTAAGAAATTTGAGTTGGAGGAGAGAGGGACTATAAAGGTTGGGATTAGGGTTTCAGCTCGATTGACCAAACTTTTAAATATTTCAGTACTAATTGTGTTTACTTAAATGGACTAGTAGCAACGACAGCTGATTATAAATAATTCGGCAGAAGGAATGACATCTGCTAATCGTGCAATGCCTGGCATATAACTTGAGCTTGGATACAGTACTGACGCTGCGCAGTACTAAGATGACTTAACTTAAAAAACCAAAAACTGGCATCTTGTCACAGCAGGAGGATTCAATCAGCGCCGTCCGAAATTGACTGGACCAATTGGTGCCTGTATAAATCGCCGAACATTCTGTATGGGGCCTAAATACAAACGATTCGAAAAAAGCTGGCCACTTATGTGGTTTCAGTTAAAGTAGGCTTGAAAGTACATGTTTAGTCTCAAGTCTTGCCGCCAGATGAAGTTGGTCGGGTGCCTCAATGATACGAAGATTTTGTCGTTCTGGGTTTTCGACAGCAAAAATCCACCAATAATATATCAGCATTTTGTCGACCCACACCCCCGGCAC